AATATTTATTAATAAAATTAAAAACTTTTATATAAAACAAAAATTTCAATTTTTACTATATTTTATTAATAAAATTGTATATATGATTCCATAATTTTTGTTAGCCACTATATATTATAATTTTTATTTATTTTTCTTTTATTATCTTTTAAAGTTATTCAATTTTTTTCTAATTTTATATATAAAAAATTTTACAAATTAAAAAAATTTCAATTTTATTTTTTTTTTGCTAGAACTGTATATACTATTATACTATATAGTAACAATCAAAAAAATACAATAATGTTAAGATTTAATCTGAGAAAGTTTTTTTAATTACAAAATAAGTTGATTGATTTTTTTTGTTATAATTATAAAAATTAATCAACTTATTTTGCAATTTCTCAGATTAATTCTAAAAAGTCTGAAAAAATTGTTATTATGGTTATTAATATAAATATATTTCAAAATACAACTTTTGATTTGAAAACTTGTATTTCTAATAATATAATTAGATCTTTTATAAGAACCTAGTTGAACTTATTATAAAGGTATAAATTAATAATAACTGGTTTCAAATATAAATATTACTATATAAAGGTTTTTATATGATGTTTCTTGACTGTAATTAAATCTATTAATAAAGTTCATTGTATAATGATAATAGATTGTCTAACTATCGTTATTTTAAAATAAACTATTTTATGACATATGGAAATCCGGATATATTAATTTCATATAGGAATATTATTGATTTGGGCGGTATCACACGTACCGGCACATGCAGACACTTTAAATCCAAAATCAATCCATTTACACAATCCAAATATTTGTTACCTAAACTTGTTTTTAAATCGAAATTTGACTGTTCTTTACCGAATTTCCAAATTTCTTTGCTAATTTAACAATCATCATAATGAATGATATAAAAAACTGAATCCTTATAGATTTTTCCATGCGTAAATATGTGTCCGTTTCGTATTGTTACATCCTTAAAATGGTCATAGCAAAAAGGTATCGTGATCTATAATTTGTGGCTTGGCTTTAACGAAAACTCGGCCACTTGACAATAAATAGAAATTACACATGCATCACGAACACATTTTGAGTTAGATGTTGAAACAGTATTATAATACAGTATCATAATACAGTGTCATAATACAGCGTCATTGATTTGTTGCTAAATAAACGGTTATTTCTTTCTTTTATGTTAAGTGAACGAAACCGACGAGAAAGAAAAAACTGATATTTCGAGACAAAAACTCATCCTGTAACAACGACGGGAAAGTGATGATATGATCTATACTAAATAAATCGATTCTCGATATAGTAATGGTAATCAACAATCAGGAAATATTTGAAAGTTACTACTAAGTAAGTGTGTGGCCTAGCTTCTCCTGGTTGAGAAAATATCTAACTTCGTTTTTGCACTCTTCCAGTTACTTTAGTTTCGTTTTTTTGTTCCCTAAATATATTACAATAATAATAATAACAATAACAGTAATAATAATAACAGTAATAATAATAACATAGTAATAATAACATAGTAATAATAACATAGTAATAATAACATAGTAATAATAACATAGTAATAATAACATAATAATAACATAATAATAACATAACAAAACAATAACAAATGGCACAGCAACATCCTTATCAAAGAGTTGATAGTGTACCAGAGCCGGATCCAGCGGACATTAGCAGCAGCAGCAACAACAATGACGATAAAAATCAAGAACAAATTCAAGTCTCATCATCATCATCAACAGTGACAACACCAAAGCTAGTAAATAACATCAATGATGAAGTGAATGCTCAAGGTGTTACTGCTCCTCCTTCCCTTTCTTCTTATTCTCCAATGACTACAACTATGGTTTCCTACGATCAACAATCACAAACTTCACCAATATTTTACGCAGAACCAATACAAGATCGAAATTTAAATTTAAATAATAATAATAATATCATTACTATTCCGTCGCCGATTACTTCATATGAAGCATCTCATTCCAATAATATTTATCAAGCTCCAATTCACAATAATTTATCACAATATAATGGACAGCTGCCATTAATATCACCATCATTAATACCACCGACTGATAATAATCGAATCGCACAGTATGATAATTTGCAACCACCACCAAACTATCAAAATCAAGGTCGAGAACCGGATATTAAACAACCTTCATCATTATCTTCTTCTCATCTTCCTTCTACTCCTCATCATAGTACTGCTATCGAAATGGGAATAATCAGTGGTGATGATGCAACAAAAATTGCTAATACGTTACAGACTGATAAATCAATTAGAATGGGTAAGAAATTTATCATTATTATTATTATTATTATCGTCCTCATCGTAATTAATATAAGAAATTAATTATCACGTATTACATAATAGCATTTGTAAGAAAAGTATACTTTTTGTTGACCGCACAGCTGGCTGTGACGATTGGAATTTCTTTATGGTTCATGAATCATACTGTTGTAAAAAATTGGGTGTCAGATCAGTAAGTAATTAATTAATTAATTAATTAATTAACTCTTTACTTTATTTATCTGATATTTATTTAATATTTATTCAATTTAGTCAATGGCTTTTCTTTGTGTCATGGGCATTATCATTAATTATCTTATGTCTGTTGTTCTGGAAACGAAAGAGTTTTCCATTGAATTTAATTTTATTATTCTCGTTTACTCTCGCAATATCATATGGCATAGGAACAGTTGGTGAGTCTCTTTTTTATTATCCAATTATTAGTCAACATTTGTGCTCACTCACTCACACTTATTAAATCATAAAGTTTCAGTATATAATTCAAAAGTGGTACTTCAAGCATTCATTATTACATTTGGTGTATTCATTGCACTTGTATTATTCACACTACAATCAAAAATTGATTTCTCTGCATGGGGACCATTCTTATATGCGGGTCTTTGGGCGATAATATTGGCAGGATTCATTGGATGGTTGTTCCCATTCGAACGTGGATATCATATTGCAATTAGTGGTATAACGGCATTATTATTCTGTGGTTATATTATTTACGATACTTATATGATATTCAATAAACTTAGTCCTGAAGGTATGAAATCAAATTAATTCATTTATCTATCTATCCATTCATGTTTCTTTTATTTACTCTTTTTATTTTAACAATCACAATAGAATATGTATTAGCGGCAATTGATCTATATCTAGACATTCTAAATCTATTTGTGGCAATTCTAGCATTACTAGGTGGCGCTGATGGTGGAAATTAGTATATTAATCATCCGTTTAAAATATGCATCATCCATATTCAACTATACTTGATATACGTCGTTTTTGTCGCATCCTAATTGTTTTATTTAACTTATATATAACTATGTATTATATCTAGAATACTATTCATTACTATTACTGTTACTATTGCTATTATTGCTATTATTACAATGAACGAGAAATTTGATTATACTACTCACTCTTATTTATAATTTTCAGGTTCATTAAAATTATAAATAGAATAAATTGCGAAAATCAATGACTTCAATAAGGGCTCATGGCCAAATGGATAAGGCGCCTGACTACGAATCAGGAGATTCCAGGTTCGACCCCTGGTGAGCTCGTTATTAAAGATATTACTATTGAAAAGATTAATATACGATATTTTGCATTTTAATGTTAAATTATGACAGACAAAAGAATATTTATCAATATGCAACGCCTCAAAAGAATATTTATCAATATACAACGCCTCAAAAGAATATGTAAGCAACTGTATCAAAAGTAAATACGTTATTAAAAGTATGAGATCGAAGTTATTTGGCAATGCAACTAATTAAGAGTTTGTTAATTAACACAGCCAGCAACAAAAAAGTTTGACCTAATGGAATTCCAACTTTTAAACATCGAAAAATCTCAGTCACATATTTTTGTTATTTGCATTTTTTTGTCATTTATATATTTAGTAAGAAATATATCACATTTTATTCATTATGTATCCGATATTGCAATTACTTTTGAAAAGTTCTCAAATATCAATAAATTAATATTATAATCGAAACCAACACATTAACTGTTGGTCTGAGATATATTGATTTAAAGAGAACAAAAAAATAGTATTAAAACTTACAAAGATTTTATATATAAAAACCTTCAAACTTTTCAGAATTAGCAATTTTTATAAATATTTAAGCAATTTGTATAATAACAAATAAACTTCAAGCTTTTTATAAGTGTAAAATTAATAAATTATATAATTCTGCTTTTTTTTTGAAAAAATATATAAATTAATAAATTATAATATTTATTTTAAAAATTGATTATATTTGAAAATTACTTTTAATTAAATATAAACAATAATTTATACTTTAATATATATAATAACTTACAAAAGTAATACATCACTTTTAAAATCTATTATTAAAAATATCATAAAGTATTTATATAGTATCTTTCTTTTGTAAAAATTTTGAATCACAATTTAATCTATTTTTTTTAGTAAACCCAATTATAGTCAAATCTCTCTATAGTCACACTTATTTATAGTCACATCTCTTTATAGTCATTCTAGTTTGCTTTCCTATTTATATAAACATAGTAAAAAATACTTCTATAATCACATTCTTTCTATAATCATCAAATTTTGCTTTTCCAAGAATGGTGACTATAGAGAAGTTTGACTGTATTTTTTACAAATAAAAATTAATTACTAATTTAATAGATTTAAAATTAAATTGAGATTTAAATTTTTAAATTTTCTACAAAGAAAAATACTATATAAAATACTTTATATATAGTAATAAAATTAAAAATTTTATTTATTTTTATATAATATAAATTACTTAGTTATTATAGAAAAAAGTAAATTAACTTTAAATTCTATTAGAATTTTTTCTTATAATTAAAAAAATTAGAAAATATATAAATTGAAAATTTATTAATTACTTTATAATATTATATATTTTTTTTGATCAAAAAAATTTTAATTATTGAATTAATAACTTTTAAAAATTATAAGTTCATATATTAGTTTAGAAATTTTGATTATATATTTTTTATTATAAAATAATATATCTGGATATTTTAATACTATATAATAAATAATTTATACTAATAATAATATAAAAATATTAAAATATAAGAAATTATTAATTATATATAATATATATTATTTAAAATTATTAAATATTTATATTTTATAAAATATATAAACTTTTCAATTATAAAAAAAATTCAAACTTTAATTTGTAAATATAATAAAATAAGATTTATTTTATTATATTTATAGAATTTTCTTTGTAATTAAAAAGTTTATATATTTTATAAAATATAAATATTTAATAAATTTAAATAATATATATTATTATATTTAAATAAATAAACTATTATAGCTTATTCATAATTAATTTTTTTTAATATAATTTTTTTAATTTTTAATAATTTTAAAACCAATAAAAATATGCAAATTTTTAATTAATTCAACAAAATAAATTTATATAAAAAATGAATAATACAAAAAATATAATAAATATTTAAATTTAATTTATAATACTAATAAAAAATGACAAAAAGATAATTTTAAATATAATTTTATTTTAAATTTAATTTTAATCTAACTCTAATTTTTAATTAATACAAAATATTTTAGATAATTATTATAACAAAATGTATAATATTATCAAATTACAAAGTTTTTATTCAAGAATTAATCAAATTATTCAATTTTTAAAAATTAAGTAATTTAATTAGTTCTTGAATAAAAACTCTGTAACTTAATAATATCATGTATTTTATACTTAAATTATTAATAATTTATTAATAATATTATAATATAATATATCAAAAAATTTAGTTATTTTTAAAAGACAAAGAATTTTATATAAAAAAATTATTATTTTATAATAAATAAAGCTAATTAAAAAATAATTACTTATTTTTAGCTAATATTTATTTAAAAACTCACTATTTTTATATTTTTAATAACTAATAGAACAAATAATATAATTTATAATATTAAATTAAATTTAATGAATTAATTATAAGTTATATTTTGTTATTTTATTAGTTATTATAATAAATTAACTTTATTAGAAAAAAGCTAAAATCCAGAAAAAATATATGTTAAACTATAATTCATAATTTTTATTTTAATATAAAAATAAAAAATATTTATTAATAAAATTAAAAACTTTTATATAAGACATAAATTTTAAATTTTACTATATTTTATTAATAAAATTATATATATAATTTTATAATTCTGTTAGTTTTATATTTTATTTTTTTATTTATTTTTTAAGCATATTTTTTTAATTTGCTAGAATATTCTTTTATTTATTATAATATTTTTTTATTTTAATTTATATTTTTTAGATTTAATCTAACAAAGTTATTCTAATTATAAAGTAATATAAAATTTTTTATAAAAATTTTTATAATAACTTTGCAATTAGAATAATTAATTAGATTAAATCTAAAAAATTCAAAAAAATATATATTAAAATATAACTTATAATTTTTA